GAAATGAGAGGCTAAAAGAATTGAATAAGACTACATATTGAATAAGAGAGAAGCTTGAACCATATTAAATGAATAAAAATTTATATATATATTTTAGAATTGTTATTTTATATATTGACTTGACTATTGATTTATGGTCTATAGGGTTGGTATCTTCACTTGATAATTGAATTATATATATATATATATATGATAGAAATTTTAAAAATTTATTAATTTTTATAAATATATTATTATAAAATACATGTCAATTTTTTAATTTTGTTTATAAAATTTTAAAAATTTATATTAGATAATTTTTAATTCATTAACTTTTCTATGTACTTAATTTTTTTTAATTATGACCTAATGATATGTATAAATCTTATAAACTCATTTATCAAGTTTAAAATTTTGAACAATGTATCATATAATTTTCATTTAAAAAATCATCATGAAAATTTTTTAACCCATACTTTTGATTAAAATAAAGCACGAACTAAATTAGAATATTCTTTTATTATAAAAAAGTAAAAAAAAATAAAAAAATCAATATTTATGAGAGAATTTAAAATTTTAACTGACTTAATTTAAATAGTAGTATTGACAATTTTTTTTATATTGCAACTTTTTTATAAAAAAAATTAACAAAATTAATTTAAACGTAAAAGACCCACCGATTTTGAAGTTGCATTTTTTCACTTGATTTGGAATGGCATTGATATAAAATAATATATAATTGGATCTATTATAAAAATTATGTGATAAACCCAATAAAAAAAAATTAAAACACGCTGGAACAAAATTTATAATCATTTCAAATTTATTTAAAATAAATTCAATTTTTTGGACAAAATCAACGTCTACAAGTATTTTTAATGGAAAAATACTTATACGAAGTTAAGGTGAAGTTTGTAAATTTTTTTATTGAAAGTAATTTAGAAAAACTAAAATTAAAAATTAAAACTGATAAATTGAAATATTTTATTTCATAGATTGAGTGTGCAAAATTGAAAATAATTTCAAAAAATTTTGATTTATTTTTTAGATAGACATTTTTACCATTGATTAAGTATTGATTAAAATTGAATTATAAATGATATTTTTTTATTTTTTTTTACATTCTTGTTTATTTTTTCAGACTCTATTAGTTTATTAATTTAAATGTTTTATTAAATTATTGTAAAGAATTTTTGAAATTTCACTTTAAAATGTTCATCCAAATTTGTCATTTTCAACGTGTTGGTGAAACTTCTAATAAGTCAATGTTAAAATTAATAATTTGACTATAAATGTTCAGAATTTATTTATATTTTTAAAATCAATATATTATAAATGATATTGTTCATCTAAAAGAAATTTAAGCTTTTGTAAATTTCAAGAATTATAAAAATTTTTTCTTTTTTATAAAAAAAATATTTTCTTCAATTCATTTGTAAAACACTAAAAATTTTGCTGCTTTTTTTTTTTTTGATAAAATGCCAAAAATCAATCTTTAAATAGTTAGATTAATAATTGCTTTTTATGATAATGTTGACATGGATATGGATATATATATATATATATATATATTTATATATTTATATCATTTGATTAAATTGTGAAAAATATTTTCTATTAGTAGAATATTCCTAAACTATTGAATCATAATATTATATATATATTTGATTAAACAATAAATCATAAATATTAATTTGATCATAACCATTTGCCTTTTATTAGTTCTTATTTTTGATATACTTCAAGTAATTATTACACAAATATATTGGCCTAACAATTATTTTTATGTTAACAAAATAAAGTCATTTTTCTAGATACAAGACAAACAATGATTCTTTATGTTATGCTTAAAAATATATCATATATTTTTTTGAAATATTATTTATTTTATTTATTTTTTACATTATTGATGATAGTGATTATAATGATATGATGCTTCATACCATCCATTGTATACAAAGAAAATCAATAACAAAAATTGTTGAAAATGAAAATGGAGAATATAAATTTACATATTAATTTATTGAGATTAAAAATATACAATAATAAGAGCAAATATGTTAATGAATTAATAGAGAATAAAAATTTTAAAGAAATAAATAAAACAAAAAATATATAATACAAAAAGTTAATTATAATCAATTTAAAGAAAATTAAAAATATAATGAGCTAAAGAGAAACAAATAAATTAAAAAATATGCAATATAAAAAATATTTAACTTAAAACATAAATAAAACAATATATATGTTTCTAGAAACAAAACCATATGTTTATTGAACTTCTTTAATAATATTCAAATGTCTCATCTTTTCATATAATGATGCGAGCTCTTATTATTTTTGTAGTATATGTTTTGGAATCAATAATTTATTAACTTAAAATCAACCATTATATAAGTTCTAAATAAATTCTAATATCTTATCAATTCAAATTTTAATTTATTTTCTTTTACTTAATTATTAATTTCAATATAAACAATATTTTGAGGAGTAATAAGATAAAAAAAGGATTTATTGTTCATTATACTTATGTAGCTTTTTCTTTCTAGCTTTTGCCAATTCATGTCAAACCAAAAACTATAGTTGTCAAATAAAAATACTTATCTTTGTCAAATTTCTATTTATATATATAAAATAAATATAATAATTTGTTGTTGTGACTTTTTATGTCTTCCTTTAAATTCTATCTTAGTTCGTTTTTCAAACTTCATAATTAAATGAAAATAAATTATTATTTGGCAAAAAATAAAATTTATTAAGTATAAAATTTGGAAATATGATTAAATTAAAAAAAAAAATAATTATATCTAATATATTTCAATTTAAAAATTATACAAAAATTTCAATCTTAGATAGATTTTGTTTTGAAGTTAAATAATTATTCAAAATATTAAATTAAATAATTCATTTAAAAATTTATTTAATAAATAAAATAATATAAGAATTATCCTATATGTCATTAAAAGAGATCATCTACCTAGACATCTACATAGTATTTTATCTTTAACCTGTATTTGTAATATAATTATTATCTTTATTTATACATATATTAAACACCTTATAAAAAATTGTTACATGGACCTTGAGATGTTATTGTGCACATTTTTTTTGAATAAACACATAGATAGCTTTTTAAAAGAGTGTGGTAGTTCTTTTTTTTTAATTAAAAATTTAGATAATCCCTAAATTTTCTTAAATAAAAATTATTCACTTATACTTGAAATCAAATCCATCTAGATATGTTTTTTAAAATTTAAATTTGAAATATAGATTTTATCTTCATTAATAAATAATTTTGAGTTGTTTATCAAAATAACCGTTATTTGAGAATTATTTAATTATAAAGATCTTTCAACAAGTTTAAAAATTATAAAGATTAAATTTATTCAAATCTTTCAACAACCCTTTTTGAATCAATAAAAATTATTTTTTCAAAAATTTATGTAAGATGTTAAAAATTAAAACAATTTGTCATATTAATTCTTTAAATTGATAAAATCACAAAAAGTATTATATTAATCTCAAATTTAATTTTCAAATTTATACTTTAAATATATATAAAAAATTTGATTTCATCTTTTTCAGTTATTATATCCTTTTTAAATTTTAAAAAAATTAATTTAAAAATTACCTATTCAATCTAAATTGCCTATCAATAGTTTTTCTACAAATTTAAGATTATAAATGCAATTTGTTAAATCGATTTTTTATTTTTCAGTTTGCAACTATTTTCTATATTTTATTACTATTATAATTTATTATTTTCGTTTGCAACTTTTTTTTTCAAGATATATTTTATTACTATTGCAATTTCATTCTTATGAAAAATAATATTTTTTCAATTTATTTTTTCTTTTTCACAAATCTCTTAATATTTTTCATATTTTGTATAGCAATTTGATTAAAATTATAAAAGTGAAAGTATGTTAATATTTTTTATTATTTAATTCATTATTCATTAATATACATATTTTGCTTTTTAAGACATAATTTATTTTCATTTGACATAATCTTACAGATTTATAAATATTACTGTAGATAAAATAGTCCAAAGGGAAGACATAACATTTTTTCTTGCTTTTTTTCAAAAAAATTAGTTTTTTTAAACAAACTAGTATATATGAATTTTATATATGTTATAAATTTAAAAAATTTGAATATAATTTTGAAAAAAAAAAACTAATTTATATGTTTATACTTATATCAGATAGATAAAATTATTTCGTGCATTATATGAGTTGCAATCTAGTAATAGCAAAAAGTATTTATTAGTATTTAAATTTAGAAAAATATTAATTTCCTTATGGTGTTGAATAGATATGTATGAATTTGATTTTCGTTCTTGTGGAATTGCAGAAAGTCAGATTCTATATTTCTTGGTAAAATCTATTTGAGTGTATTATGGTTAATTCAAACTTGAGAACATGGAAATGAAATATATGGACTTTGAATGAATTAGAATTTCAAGTCCACGCATAAGCTCTAAAATATTTAACATGTAACGAACAATTGAAAGTCAACTAAAAACTTTCCAAAGAAGAGTTTTAAAGTGAGCAATGGACCGCAGGGAAGATTTACATGAAGTATTATAAGTGAAATTTGTGAGGTTTTTTATTAGAAATGAATAAATAAAAGATAAAATTAAAAATCTAAATTGATAAATTGAAATCTCTTCACATAGATCAAACATGCAAATTTGAAAAAAAATTTAATAAATTTTGTTAATTTATTAAATAGATATTTTTAGTAAAAATATTGATAAAATTTTTATCATTGAATAAGTATTGATCAAATTTAAATTATAAATAATTTTTTTAATAAGTTTTTTACATATTATTGATCTTTATATTAAATTTTATCAATGTATCGATTTAAATTTTTTATTAAAATTTTTATTAAATCATTAAAAAAAATTTCACAAACTTCACCTCAATGACTCAAACATATCGTGAATAGCTATCAATCAAATTGAAGCAAATTGAAAGTTCTAGTAAAATATTGACGGATTAGAATAAATATGGAAGAAAATGTCCACTTTTCGGATTTCAAATTCTTAAACTTCAACATCCATCAGACGTACAAGACGATCCTACCGTAAATTTCTTGCCATGTTGAGGTGTAAATTTCTGTAACTTTACAATTCCTTTGCATATATAAATACCTGTTCATGCATGCAAGTCACAGAACTTGAATTGTAGCAAAGCCCTTTTGAAACATCTGAAGCATGGCTTCATCATTCATGTTTTGGAAATTCCTCTTCTTTCTCAGCCTTGTATTGCTTCACCATTTCGATGTCTTTGCTTCATCTAATGGTACTGAAACAGAGGCCCTTTTGAGATGGAAAGCTAGTCTTGGCAATGAAAGCAAGAGTTTCCTTTCTTCGTGGGTTGGAGACAGCCCTTGCAGCAGATGGATCGGAATAGCTTGTGACGAAGGTGGTAGCATCACCAATCTCAGCCTTCCGGATTACGGTTTGAGAGGTACACTTTACAGTCTCAACTTCTTTTCCCTCCCTAACCTGATGAGGCTTAACCTTCATAATAACTCATTTCATGGGGGAATTCCTTCACAGATTGGCAATCTTTCAAAACTCACCTTCCTTGAATTGTCTGACAATGATTTCTCAGGGAATATGCCATCTGAGATTTTCTTATTGAGAAGTCTCAAGTATATCTCTTTAGCAAGAAATCAGATCAGTGGTTCCATTCCGGAAGCCATAGGAAGGTTGAGTTCAGTTTCTGAAATTTATTTCGAAGACAACAATCTAAGTGGTTCAATTCCAACTTCTATAGGAAGCTTGCAAAACTTATCGTGGCTTGTCCTTTCTGGCAATAGGCTAGGTGGTTCTATACCTAAAGAAGTTGGGAACCTGTCCGTGCTCATCGTCCTTGAGTTGCAATTCAATAATTTCTCTGGAAATATTCCATCTCAAATAGGAAATATGAGTTCACTTGTTCACCTTCACATTTATGATAACGACTTCACTGGTCCAATACCTATTTCAATGGGAAACTTGCACAGATTATCTCGACTTATCCTTGTTAACAATAGACTCAGTGGCTCTATACCTGTAGAAGTTGGAATGTTGAGGTCACTCAAAATGCTTGATTTTTCAAGAAACCGCCTAACTGGTCCTATTCCAACATCTATAGGAAATTTAAGTAACTTGGAATGGCTTTATCTTTATGGTAATGACCTCTCTGGTTCCATCCCAAATGAAATAGGATTTTTTCGATCTCTTTCCACATTGCAGTTGCAAGGTAATAATCTCACTGGTGTCATCCCTGCTGCTTCTATAGGAAACTTGTCCAACTTATCGAGTCTTTACCTTGATAATAATATGCTCTCCGGTTCAATACCTCGAGAGATTGGAATGCTTCAATCTCTCACTGAACTCTCATTGAGCAACAATACGCTTTCTGGTTCAATCCCCACTTCTGTGGGAAATATGACGAGGCTTAGCGACTTATCTCTTTCGGATAATCATTTATCAGGTCCTATTCCTGCAACAATTAACAATCTTACTCGATTGGTAAAATTACAATTGGGTGACAACTATCTGAAAGGTCAGTTGCCTGATAATGTATGCCGCGATGGCTTACTGTCTCGTTTAATAGCACAAACAACAATTTAACGGGCCAAATTCCATCAAGTTTGAGAAATTGCACAAGTTTATTCAGACTTAGGCTTCAAGGAAACCAGCTTACAGGGAATATATCAGAAGCTTTTGGCATATATCCTAACTTGTATTATGCTGAATTAAGCGACAACAAGTTTTACGGAGAACTTTCTCCCAACTGGGGGCAATGTCCTAATCTAGCAAGCCTATATATCTCCGACAACAACATTTCTGGGGAGATACCTGTTGAATTAGGACAGGCAACTCAATTACTTGAAATTGATCTCTCCTTAAATAATCTACATGGTGATATTCCGAATGAATTTGGAAGATTGACATCATTGCTAGATCTTTTGTTAAATGGAAACAAACTTTCTGGAAAAATTCCAGTAGAGATTGGAATGTTGTCAAATTTGAAACTTCTAAATTTGGCATCAAACAATCTTAGTGGATCCATTCCTGACCAACTTGGAGAGTGCTTCAAGCTACGGGGATTGAACCTAAGCAGAAACCAAATCAGTGAAAGTATTCCTTCAACGATAAGCAGTATATATGCCCTTGAAACACTTGATTTAAGTCATAATCTGCTGATTGGAGAGATACCAAGGCCACTTGGGATTCTACAAAAATTGGAACTGTTGAATCTTTCTCATAATATGCTTTCTGGTTCCATCCCATCGGCTTCTGATGATTGGCGAAGCTTGACAGTTGTGGATATATCCAACAATCAATTGGAAGGCCCTTTACCTGACAAAATGCTTTTCGGAATGCTCCATTTGATGCCTTAAGAGACAACAAAGGGCTTTGTGGCAATGCAACAGGTCTAATACCCTGTTATGGTTTCCCTACCATTACTAACAAAGCCCAAAAGAAAAGAAAGAATAGACTTGTGATTTTAATTGTGCTGCCTGTTTTGGGTACTCCAGTTCTATTATTCATTTCAATTGGAGGCTTTTTCTTTCTTTTTCGGAAGATTTGGAAGAGAAAATTTAAGTCAAGGGAGGAACAATCCCAAGATATTTTCGCAATATGGGGATACGATGGAGAAATACTCTATGAAAGCATCATTGAAGCTACAGAAGATTTCAGCTCCAGCTATTGCATTGGATCAGGAGGATATGGAAATGTTTACAAAGTTGTGCTGCCAACAGGTCGAGTGGTTGCTGTGAAGAAACTTCACCAATCCGAAGATCGAATGTTAATCAACCTGAAAGCTTTTGAAAGTGAAATTTGTGCTTTGGCAAACACAAGGCATCGGAACATTGTGAAGTTCTATGGGTTTTGTTCGAATTCTGAGCAGTCCTTTTTGGTTTATGAGTTTGTGGAAAGGGGAAGTCTAAGAATGGGTTTGAGTGTTGAGGAAAGAGCAATGGAATTAGACTGGAACAAGAGGATAAATGTCGTGAAAGGGTTAGCCAATGCTTTGTCTTACATGCACCATGACTGCTCACCGCCAATTATTCATCGGGACATTTCCAGCAACAACGTTCTTTTGGATTCGGATTATGAAGCTCATGTCTCCGACTTTGGCACAGCTAGGCTTCTCAAGCCTGATTCAACCAATTGGACCTCATTTGCAGGCACCTTTGGGTATGTTGCTCCAGGTATGTAGTTAATTTCTCTCAATTTCAGCTTTATAATTTATTACCAAGTTATTTTCTACTTCAAAATGCAGAAGTATCTACCAAACAAACATATGCACGTAGCTCAAATGATACACTCATCTCTTTTAGGAGACGGATTCCTACAACGTTGGTGTTCGGTTTCCATCAGTTGCAAATTTCCCTTCCTCATTTTCCTGACCTTTTTGTGTTAAAAAAAAAAAAACATAAAAAGCAAGATTGTCTATAGGATTGAAATACTAGTATTCCAAGTTAAATTTAACTGATTACATATCCAAATTAATGTAGGCATAGCTTTTTTTTATATGTTGGAAGCTTTTATTGAGTAAATGTTACTTTTGAGTCTCACAAACAAGATTAGATTAATCAAATCTTTTTTTATAGAGTTGGCTTATACAATGGAAGTTAACGACAAATGCGACATCTACAGTTTCGGTGTAGTAACCATGGAAATACTGATGGGAAGGCACCCTGGTGATCTTATTTCAAGTTTATCATCATCGTCATCATCGCTACCAAACTGGCAACAGATTTTGTTGAAGGATGTCATAGATCAACGTCTCTCAGCTCCATTAGACCATATTGCAAACAATGTGGTCTCTGCTGCTAAGCTAGCATTTGCATGCTTGCATATCAATCCACAGTTTCGCCCAACAATGCGACAAGTTTCTCAAGCTCTTTCCAGTCAACGGTTTCCAACGTCCAAGCCTTTCACGATGATAACCTTGGGAGACTTGTTTTGTTATTAAGGTTGTTGGTGTATGAGGTGCTTACCATTTTAGATTTTCAGCAATTTTATGTGTAGGTGTGTTTTGAGTCTTGGACTTTTAATAAGCATTCTTATTGCAGCATGATCTGTTTATTAATGTCTTTAGCTTCTAGTTTTCATGAAAGACTTTTCAAAGGTTTCACCATGGGAGAAGCCTCTTTTAGAATGTGTGAGAAATCCTAAATTAGAAATAATAGAAGGTTTTGAAGGTTGGTTGTATTATTGAGATCCAAACTGGTTTTATCCTCCATGCATGTCAATCATGTTGTATCACTGTTTTTTTTTTTGTTTGCTTTTTTTTTTATTGACCATCACTATTAAATCCCAGTTATGAAAACTTTATTATCAAACAACGGTTAAACGAATATCCTAGGCTAGCCATAAAGATCAATGGAGCTCTCCACCTTAATTTTCAAGTGGTTCAGTAATTCAGTGGCCCAATTTAGTTCTTTCAACCATCTGCATTTCCTATTTAATGATCTCATTCCAATCAAGCATTTAGCATTATAAAGTGAACATTGTCAACATTCCAATGCTAACATCTTTATAATCAAACATTTTGAGCCAAAGGGGAAAAACCCTGTATGAATTTCAACAGATCTAGAGGGAATTAAATCTAAAATGGTTACAGCAAAATTTCTGGTTAGTCTTCTGTATATGTGTTAATAAATATCAAGTTTTATATTTCCCCACACTCAGCTATAATGCATGGTGGTTTTGGCCTGTTGTTGCGTCCAGTAGCCACATTCTCTATCTTCCGAACTACAAGAAGACTATCTCCAATCACCCTCTACATGACCATGGACAAAATAATTATTGTCATTTCTAAGAATGCATTTAAGTTTTAAAAAGATGGGGAAATCTGGATGTATTTGGCACAAGAAGGTTAAAGAACATACCCCTAATACAACATGCTTATTATCAAGCCACTCGCATTTTGCTCATGTGATAAAAAACTGCAGTCAATAAACACCAAAATCAATATAGTTGAAAAGCTTATAACAAGTAAACAAGATGATAAAAGTTTTACCAAGATATTTCAGAAATCTTAACCAACTGAAAACACGAGATGTGCTAGAAGCATTCGCAATAACCGCGCTTCCATCAAATCTCAATTCTCCTAGCTGAGAGTCTGAAGCCAAAGAATACCTCTAGCATAGATTTGGTACAAATAGCAACATTCTACTACCTTGTGTCCTTTTAATTTGAGGACACTTGATGCTGTGCATAAAAAGGACATCGGTATTTTTTTACAAGCATGCAATTGCATGTGCTTGTTCAAGGGTATTCATGTAATGGGGAGAAAGAGAGAGAGAGAGAGAGAGAGATACCTGACACCTATTGGTGTTGGTCCACTGTGTGCCTGCAATAGAAAAGGTAAAAGAGTATGATTTACGAAATTTCATTGAACTTATACACTCCTAGTACCTCTACCATTTTTTTTTTTAATTTCTCTTTCTCCCTCCAGTGTGAAAGTTATGGAAAAAGGCTTGGTGGAGGGAAGGATACACATTACACTAAGTTTATCAACAAAAAAAGAGGGCACGTAGAGAACATCAGCAACTGGAGGGAGGGGCTATGAAACTTAAGGCACTCAGCGAGATTATCAAGATATTCCAACAAAATCCTTTCCCATGAAGCTGCCACTTTTAATTTTTCTCAATCATTTCCAAATGAAAACAACATGCAAAGTTCTAGTTAAAGAAGACAGTGCTTTCTATACCTTCCTTTATAAATGCAATATTTACACAAAGTGAAAATGTAGTTAACTACTTGGATCATGTCAATGATGGCACCAACAAACTCTGTTTTGCAGCATAAAAGAACTCAACTCCAGAGTTCTACCAAAAGGCAAATTTTCCTATTCCCAAGTCATACAAAAATTAACTAATAGGGGCCCTATATTCCTAGAGCAACAAGTTCCTAGTTGCCACAAGAAGCCAGGTTAAAAAAATAATTGATAGTAAGACCAAAAAGAAAATATTGACATGCAGAGAAATAATTGATTGTTAAACCACACAGTAGATTCTCTATGACACTAGTCAACAATACAGCCACAACAACTGACGAACTGGACTCATTAGTGCCAATACAGCCGAGTATAAATTTACAGTCTGATAAAAATCAGCAAGCACGCATTATACAGCTTTTTAGTTTCAGCAGCTTGAATGAGTTCCAAAACCTTACACATTACGCTAAACCAACCTAAAGGATATGCACACATTAAAAATTGATATGCCCTATGTGCAAGCACATAACACATGAAATAATAAGGGAGAGAAATAAAACGAAAACATTCATTAAATCTTTCAGTTTGAAAAATATATAGAGAAAAGGAAAAAATGTAGCTACACAATATTATATAGAAAACAGCATACCATTGATAGCAAACCAGGACCAGCGTGTTTTCCAATGAAATTTTCATCTTTGAAAAAATATAGAGAAAAGGAAAAAAAATTCAGCTACATAATATTATATATAAAACAGCACGCCATTGATGGCAAACCAAGACCAGTGTGTTTTGCAATAAAATTTTCATCTTCGAACTTATGCCCATATATGAAAGTACATCCACTACCATCTCCCTGCAACGCAAGATTTTACGGTAACTATTATACAAAATAGGAGCAAATTGGTCTCACTAGCTTTATTGTTATCAACAAAGATTTATACTCTTGTGCATCTTTTATGCTTAACAAATCAAATTAATGGTCTAAGCTATTGACCTACCATTACCTTGGCAAACACCACCTTCCAATTATTGGTTAAAAACTGTCCTTTATAGGAATATTGGGTCTCTCATTCAGGCTTGGGACATTCAATGAAGAATGTAACAACAGTGAATCAATTACTCCAATCATATTTTCCTCAAATTGTCAAGTAAAAAGCTTTACTTGTAAAATAATCTAGCTTTAACAGAAGTATCAGTCAAAATAATTATTCCCAACTACATGAAGAATTAACGGTCTACAGGAAATCTCAATAAGCTAATTCTGGGTACTCACTTCTAATATGAAAGAGCAGAGTAGCTAAGATTATAAATGCAAAAGGAAAGCTGATATAATAACCTACCAACCTTGATAAAATCTCCAGCTTGAATCATAAAATCTTTAATAAACCTATGAAATTGACAACCCTTGCAACCAACAGGCAGCCCTGCTTTCCTGATATTCAATCCAATTAATAAAATGGGTAAGTAGCAATTACTCATGTAGATGCAGATAACTTAAATTTTGAAAAAAAAAAAAACCCTGTATTCGCCAGCGCATAGCTGCCTGCCAAATGGGAAAAAATAAAAATAAAAATAGAAATTATAAGAGTGAAAAATAATCATTGAATAAGAACAAAAGGGAAGGAAGTCGCAGGACCAGAAATTTTCGGTGGTTTTAAGAGCAATATCAGCGAAGAATTCCATTTTGATACGACCGGCGGGGATGGAACCGATTGTTAAATCGAAAAAGACGATTAGGTTTTTGGGATTCGGTGTCCTAACGAGCCACTCCACTCCTCCACCAGAAGCCATCGCCACTGCACGCGCCTCTCTTTTTTTTTCTCTCAGGGTAAAAACTTTGGCTCTAGAACGTTTCAGTTTGCAGGCTTTTGCCACTCCGGCAGCGCCATCGGGGTTTTGTTTATCTACACCAGTTTTGGCTAAAACTATTTTGTTTACTTTGTTCTATTTTCTTTTTTTTTTTTTTTTTTAATTTCTAAGATAAGTCTAACCTGATGAAAAAAATAAAAATGTTTATATAGGAGATTTCATTTTCAATATAAATTTAAAGGTAAATATAATTACGAACTTACTCTATAATTTAAAACACTCATAAAAAATTAAATTATTAAATTTTAAAAATAAATAACAAATCTTATAATAATTTAAGAAATTTTAGTCTATCATCCTTCTTTTAAAAATATATATATGATTTAAATCACTTTCATTCATAAGATCTAAATTTGATGATATTCTTATTATCAATGGCAAACTATTAAACCTATCGGCATTTCATTGCATTCTTATCAAAAATAGAAAGATATCAAACTTCGTGGAAAGATTGCAACAGAAATATACAAGGTTAAATATATATCTGACCTCTGAATTTTGTAATTTTTGTCAAATTAGTATCTAAAGAATTTTTCTATTATATTGGTATTTGAACATTAAAATTCATAATCACATTGATATTTGAATGATAAAATTTTTTCATATTTTTTAATTTTACAATTTCAAATTTTTATATATTTTTTGAAATTTAAATTTGTTGGATTTTTATTAAAATTTTAAGTTTTTTTTTTATATTTTTTAAATTTAAAATGTTTCAAAAATTTGAAATTATTTAATTCATCAAAAAATTTTAAAAGCTTTTAGATTTTTTCTTATTTTCAGTTTTTTAAGTTCTTTTTATTTTTAAAATTTTAAAAAATTTTAATTTTTATAAATTGTAATTTTTTAATTTTTTTTCTTATTTTCAGTTTTTTAAGTTCTTTTTATTTTTAAAATTTTAAAAAATTTTAATTTTTATAAATTGTAATTTTTTAATTTTTTTAAAAAAATTCACAATACAATAATTTTTATAATTTATAAAACTATTTCTTATTTTTAATTTTTTATAAATTTTAAAATTTTGAAAAATTTTTTATAATTTTTCTAAATTTTTAGAATTGTTTGAATTTTAAAAATTTTAAAAAAATTTTTAAATTTTTTAGTATTTTTTTTCATAATTTTTTTAAATTAAAAAGTTTTTCATAATTAAAATTTTGAAATTTTATGGGGCAAGATAAGGAAAAGTGAGAAAAAATAAAAGAGATAATGAAATTGAGAAATGGCGTGAATGATAATAAGAGAAGATGAATTACATAATAAGTAAGAGAGGAAAAAAAAAAGAAAAAGAAAAAAAAAAGAGTAGCTAAAAATGACAGAGAAAATAGAACGTAAAGAAAAAAAATGAGAGGGTGGATTAGGTATTCAGCTATAGAAGAAAAAAAAATAAGGTGACACGTTGATTAAGGTGCAAAATTAATAATATGGATGGATACTTTTTTATTTTTTTTAATATTTAAAATGATTTTTTTTTAAAAGCGATTCAAATCGTTAAAATGTTTTTTTTATTGGATAAATATTAACGTGGTTGGTAAATTTTGAATATTTTGATTTTTTACCCTTAATCATAATTTTGTAAGATTGATCAAGAATTACTTGTATTAAAAAAATATTCGTGCAATGTCACAGG